CATCCCAATGCCACCATCCGCTACAAACATAGCCCTATGGTTTTACGCATTGACAGCGATGCCTCCTACTTAAGTGAACCCAATGCACGATCACGAGCAGCGGGCTACTTCTATTGCAGCGACAGCACCACTCCACCACAACAACCACTTCACAACGGACCAATCCTCGTCATCAGCCCCATTCTCAAGATGGTTGTCTCCTCAGCAGCCGAAGCTGAAACCGGAGCTGCCTTCGAATGCGGGCAAGAGGGATGCCCCCTCAGAACCACACTCGAATACCTAGGCCACCCACAACCAGCCACCCCTATGCGCATCGACAACAAAGTCGCAGAAGGCATCATCAATGACACCGTGAAGCAAAAACGCTCCAAGGCCATCGATATGCGCTTCTACTGGCTGCAAGACCGCGTCAACCAGAACCAGTACACCGTGTACTGGCAACCAGGCTCCCTCAACCTTGCAGACTACCCCTCCAAACACCACCCAGCTAAGCATCACCAACGGATGCGACCAACCTACCTGTATGAGCCTGACACCACACACAGCTCCACAATGCCTTCACAAGCCAACAACATCAACACAACTCCGTACTCCTTGTGCGAGGGTGTGTTAAAGTCCCAATACCACTGCGACATTGACCCTTATATCCACCAGAAGCACGTCCCACCAAGCCAACCAGCCTGACTGGCCGGCTCGCGGGACCGTCACATAGATGTAGATCCGGCAGATCCCCAACGGTCATTTACCAATGACAACGGGGACAGCCACCAAAGCCAATAGCTCATAATTGTTTCTAACCTCCAGTTAAACCCTTAGAGCTATTGACTTCAATAGTAACGGGGGTTTAGAGTTTTGATGGTTTCTTCTGCGGTACTCCGAGATATTGTATTAGAATAATCTAGCTAGCTAGCTAGCTAGCTAGGAGAGCGATCTGGATCCAAGCCGAGGCTGTCTTTGTACAGCATGGCATGGCCAAAGAGCCCACAATACTTACTTGTGCACTGAAAGCGTGTAATCTTCCCATGCCCAATGGAAACAGCTCATGGAACTTGAAGGAGGAGCTCTTGAAGGACACATTGAAAGTGTGGGATTGTCTTCGTAGGGAGACCGTCCACACTAACAGAGTAACAATTACTATTTATGATGATGCTACACTATGCACTTTTCTTCTCTGTGCTGGTACTGCTTCGATACAGTTCCTCTGGTGAGATGAGCTTGTCGAGATTTCCCTTTGGGACAAAGTCCTGGGAAACCTCCCTGGTCCTTGCATAGAGCTGCCGCGCATGAGCCAGGCCTTCTCTACTGTAAAGATCCAACGCATTATCGATTGTCAAGTCGTCATTCTCTTGCAAGTGTTCCATGGCATCTCTCAGAGCCAAGGCATCCAAAATGGCCGTATGAGCGCCAACGGCAGTTCGAGGACTGGCCATGTGGGCTGCATCACCCAGCAATAGAACCCTTCCTTTGTGAACTTTATCAATGTTGCCAAATTCATATTGCGGGTGAGGCTGTATCTCTCCCTGTTGCATCATTTGCTCCATCAGTGGTACCAAGTGCGGAAATTGTTGTGTCATGTGTTCCAAAAACCAATCTGGCACGACCGATGGTTTGTTGTTGTTGTTGTCCGAGATACCACCATGCCGCGACTTGCCATCCTTGTCCTTGTTCCAGTTGTACCGAGCTAGATCAGATTCCGGTGTCGCCACAAACGTTCCCATGGTCCATATATCGTCTCCATTATCCTTGGCCATTTTCAAGACGATCGTGTCGTAGATTCCATTCTTGTAAACGCCTTCTACATGTTTCAAGTCCCGACGCAAATGGGATGGCAGCTTGGACACGGCGACACTTCCTCTCCAGACGACATATCCTGCGTACTCGGGTTTGGCACGTTCCCCTAGAACGTGGTGTCGCAATGCGGAGAATCCACCGTCTGCCAGAACCACCAAATCATAGTTTTGATGGTGAATCACAGGTGCCTCCACCGTTCCATGTAGCTCGGTAATGGGTTGACCAAAGTGTACCTTGACCGTCTCCTCCTCCTCCAACAGACGTTGATAGAGATAGCTCCATAAATCTCCGTAAAAGTAGGAGCCTTGTGCCCGCGACGCCCGTACTTGACGGCGTATCATGGGACGTTGGGTCAAACTCTCCCACGCCGGAACATGGACAAATCCGAGTCCACTGCCCTTTTGGGAAAGTTCCGTGGGCGATCGTTCATAGACATCCACCGACCATCCCGTTTGAGAAAGGGCCCGAGCTGCCGCCAAACCACCGAGAGAACCACCGACAATGGCGGCATGTGGCAGCAGCGCGGATGATGGGACAACAGTCATGATAATGATGATGAGTAATAAAAGAAGAAAAAAGATGATTGTAGATGAGAGAGATTGGGATGAGATTTCCAGCAGCGGATTGCGAGTTTCTTTCTTTGTTGCTGCTATAATATGTAGGAACTTCTTATGCTTTGGTATCTTTGATTGAGTTTATGCGCCTCTTCGATTTTGAGTAATTGGTGTGGTCTGAGAGATCACTCATCATTGGCTTCGGCATTCGGCATTCGGCATCTCCGCCATTCTGGCGAAAGCAAAACATCGCCGACCACGTCGATTGTAGAAAACAAAAGATCAGTTTAGAATGTTCGATTTGGTTCTGAGAAGAGCGCATGTTTGAAGTTTCGAGCTACGAGCTCCAGTATCTTCCTCCATCAGATTTGCCGACCACATCCAGCAACAAAACCGACGAGTTGGATCTCAGATCCTTTCTCATTCCTCTATTCCCAAACAGACATACATCCCATCACCATCATGGCAACGACTACTACAACAGCCGCATCGCAGAAACTGGCCGTGGCAGTGATTGGCTATACGGGCGGAGTTGGAACATGTTTGCTCCAAGCCATGGAAAAGATCCAGCTAGAGCCGTACGCGTTGGTCCGGTCTTCGACCATGAAGATTGCCGGCAGTGAATCTGCCACTGACTACGGTGCCATGAGCGATCAGTTGGTAGCCCATGCCACTAAGCAGGGCCAAGTTCCGGTGATTGCCGATGTTACTGCGTCCGCTGGTGTCCAACTGCACTATAAAAAGTGGTTGGAAAAAGGCGTCTCTGTCGTAGCAGCCAACAAAGGTATCTTTGCCGGTCCCGAGACCGACTATCTTGCCCTGCTACAAGCCGCCAAGGACGGCAAGTGTCGTTTGTTGCACGAAACCACGGTGGGCGCTGGATTGCCCACTCTGGGAACACTGCAAGCGTTAAAGGCGTCTTCCCATGGAATCATCACAGTCGAAGGGATTCTTTCGGGAACACTGGCATTTGTGCTGGGCCAGCTAGCGGGTGGCAAGGCAACACTGTCCCAAGCCGTCCGGGAAGCCAAAGAATTGGGATACACCGAACCGGATCCTCGCGACGATCTCAATGGAATGGATGTGGCCCGCAAGGCCGTGATTTTGGCGCGATTGGCCGGAATGAAAAGAGTCGAATTGTCCCAACTCTCCATTGAATCGCTGGTACCGGAATCACTGCGAGACTGCAGCGTCGACGAATTCATGACGAACTTGAACCAACACGATGCTGCCATGACGGAACGAGTGGCCAAAGTAGAAGCCGCGGGAGGACGCTTGCATTATGCGGCCAAAGTAGATGTGGCACAAAACAAAGTCGAGGTCGGATTGCTGTCTTGTGAAGCATCGCATCCTTTCAATAATGCCGGACCGGATAATATGGTGGCGATTACCACCAACTTTTATACACGGCCCTTGGTGGTGCAAGGAGCGGGAGCTGGAGGAGATGTCACTGCAACCGGTGTGCTTGCCGACATTTTACAATGTGCTTATCAGTAATGGTTTTTGCCTCGGTCAGCAAAAATTGATACTCTTTAAAAACTATCAATATTGCCATCCTTACGTACCGTACCGTGTATGACTCGAGATGATTCTCTTCGCTCGCGGGGCATTGACAGGTAGTCGACACAGGGACTTCATGTCCAATTTTTTTGCACGCAATCATCGTGGGAGTTTGTCATGAGTACGGAATTTTTTAATGTTAATTTTAAATTGACTTGATATTTTTCTTTGGCAATGGACAGCACAACCATAATACCGCACAACAGATGTTTCTTAGAGAAGTCTTCTCTGGAGTCGTATCCTTGTACAGATCAGCCTGTCTCGCAGCTGGAGCTGCGGTTGTTGTCTCCTTTTGTTTGATTTTTCCCTCCTTGACTTCTTTCAGCGCTTGGGCATCCATAATGTCCGCAATTAGACCCTCAATGTGGATCTTGTAGCGACCATCCACATCCACATCAGCATTCTGACTAAGCCTCTCTCCTTCCGACTTTAAAAACACCATCACTTCCTTGATATCATCGCTATCACTAACGTTCTGGTCCACCCAATCCTTATAGTAGACCAGCGACGATGTATCGCCGCCATCTGCTCCATCAGCAGGACGGCCGAGGCTGAACGGGGTTGGTGGTACCAGATCTACCACTGCTGCATGATTCCCACCACCAAACTGTAGCTCTTCGTCATCAACATCATCTGTTCCAAAGGCAGCCTGAATGGCTCTGGCCGCCGCTGATGTGTGCTCTATCTTGCACTGAATGTGTTTCACGTACCTTGCATCGCCCACCTCGTTCACTTCGAGTCGAACAAGCTCGGCGTGGTAGTAATCTGTAGCCGATGCGGGCGACAAATCACCAATCTGGCTCTCTAACCAGTCCTTATAGAAGAGAAGGGAATGCGTGTCGTCCTCTTGGGACTCTTCACGGGCTTCTTCTTCTTCTTCGACAAGATCGGGACTCTCGGCCGCTGCCAAGCCACGCGCTTCCTCCGATCCACCATCATCAGACATGGTACCGTACCGTATGGTATGGTTGATGAGCCGCAGGCTGGAGGTTTGGGCACACTTACATGTACCGGTAGGGTAGTATGGGAGCAATAGTTATTTGGAGAGAATGAAGTGAGATGTCAAGCTAGCCAGGACCGGTACCAGCAATAGCATCATCTCTGCGTACGGACTGGCCCTCCGGTGCAGATTCATTTGACAATTCCAAATTCGTTTTGTCCAAACCAAAATCAGAAGCGGTCATTGCTAACAGAAATGGTCATTTCGCGAATCCTGCATTGAAATGACTGGTTATCACAAAGAAAATATTGAAGAAAATAAAATGAATTTTATCACCATGGCAACAGTGTTGACCAAATGGCTATTAGCTTCACCAATACATTGATCTGATCAACTCTTTGCTAGGAGTGGCTCCCCAACACACTCACAGACACTCCCCTTCAAAAGAGTCTATCAACTCTAAGGTTTCCTATGGAGCCTCAATGAAAAATCAGGCTTGGATTGCATTTTCTTGTCATTTTGCCATGCATTTCTCCATGGGAAAGGTGGTCCTGTCCTCACTCTCAGCACCCAATCTGCACTTAGAGTATGGTAGAGGAGTGGGTTGCTTTGGATTAAGACTGGAGCACCCATCCCAAAGATTCAAAGGAGAATTGTTGGCTCCAATGTGTCAATATTGAGCTGATTATAGAGCTGATTTCATGTAAACTTGTAGTCAGCCGACAAGTCAAAGCAGTAGTAGAGAAGATGCCGCTTGTTCCTTTTGTAGTACGATCCATAGTAGCAGCAGTAGTCGAGACGTCACGGCATATGGCCGATCCATGGAAAAGGTTCGCTCCGTGAAAGCAATCCACCGAAAGCTGCAAGCTTTCACATCGGTCGACCGATCGATCCGTCGAACGGCTGCAGCTGCCGCTGCTTCAAGCCTAGCCAAAGAAGAGGAGCCTGTCATGGTGGTGAGTAGTAGCCTTTGTTGAGAGGAGTAGCCGCTGTACAGTCGTAGAGGAGATAGCATCATCTTGATAGATTCAAGTCAATAGAGCACAATATGAAAAAAGAAGAGCACACGAGTGGCTGGGAGCCATGGATGTATGCATCTAAGTCTTTTCTGAGTATGTTAAGGCTTTTAGTCCTGATGTCTTAGTTCCCATTCAATTGTCCTAGCGGGACCGTGCTTGCGTTTGCGTCAATAGCTTCGATACAGCCTGTACGCAATACAGAACATGTAAAAGTCTAAACGGCAAAGTAAAACCCTTTGGCCCCCCAGACGGCCCTCAATTTCTCGCCCCTGATCCCACAGAACCCAGTCCTTCATCAACTGAACTTTGCTTCATTGGCTTCCGTAGATAATCTTCCTACTCTAAACCCCCCTTGAACCTAAACCGTGAGGGTCCCATGCCCGTTGCCAACACCGAAAAGCTGCTGACTAGCTAGGTAGCTAGCTAGAGTAGAGAGCTTAGTAGACTACCAGTGGTATTAAAAATTCATATGCCCCCTGGGTCGTCTCCGTTTCCAGTACTAGTTTAACTTGTCTACTAATACAGGATAATAGTGAATAGAATCGAATGAATCATGTGGCTTATATTTAGGGTTTAGGTTTTGCAATTTTGAAGTCAACGTGGTTTATGTGAGGTTGTAAAAGTTTTGTGTGATAGTATGTGTTAAGTGGAGGGTTGGCTCGCTTCCGCTGGGAGCTTGGTGTCTTCTTTTTCCTCTGTTTCCCGCCTTCTCGGTACTGGGGTATTCGGTAATAGATCGTGAGCAAGTTCGGCAGCTTTCTTCATACCTTGTGGAGTGTCATCATCTGACTATTCGCAGGTGACACTTGGCCGACGTGGTTCGTGGAACAGGTGGAACGGAGATGACGTATTTGGTTGCATTGGAACTGGGAATGTTTGCGAATAATATTGGGAGTTCCAGTATTGAGGATTTGAAAGTGAGGGCACGGGGGATTTATACGGAAGCTACTGTAGGAGACTTACACCGTTCTCCTGCTGGTGCTTTTCGAGAAGAGTTCCCAAAAAGGCCTCAAAGTTCATGCCGGGGGGTAGTGCAAAACCATGGGGAAGGGCCAGTGTGGCAGCTTGAAGGCGAACTGGTGGAGTAGAGGTGGGGGCGGGGGATGGTGTGCGTGCGTAGTGGCTTGTAATAATGTTGCGACGGGCACCAGTGATGGCCCGCATGCGACCGAAGTCGATGCATCCAAGGTTGTTTCGGTGAAATCAACGGACGTAAGACGTGAAGCCGGGAGTTGACCACGATGGGCCAAATGAGTACACATGGCCCTTGTCGTCCTTGAGGAATTCGGATACAGTGCGGTATTCGCCTTGACGATCCAAGAATCCGTCACAGGTGAGTCATGATGTCGGAGTGGGTGATCAGCTCATTCCAGGTGTCATGGACCTTGTACCACTTGTCCTGTTCGTCGAGAATAGGTAGGGTTCATCCTTCTTTGCCGGTCTTACACGTATTGCATGTAGGCCGGTTTAAAGGTTTCATTGAACCACTTCAAGGCCATTTCTGGGGTTGGGATCTGGGGCAAGAAACGTTCACCAGTTTGTCGTCAACTTCACCTCTGGGGCACATGATAACAAAGCCTCTTTGGTCATAAGCAGTACCGTTGGTGGCCTCGTACATAGGAGCTTTTCCCCATCAGCAGAAGCGGGTCCACCAATTTGAATACCCACTCGATCATGTGCTTGTCAGGGAGGGCTTGAACAAAGGCCATCTGTCTTTGGGTTTAACGCCGTTGACGGGGTGGTCTTTGCGTCGGTTGTACATACACCGGTAGCTTTCTTTTCAACAAAGCCTGAACTTGAGGAACATTCCGGGGAAGGGGTTTTCTTCGTCTTCCTTGAGGTTGCTGGGAATTACAGCGTGGAACTCAAGGAGTTGAAAGGACTCTTGCTTTGTTGCCGCCGGCCTTTTTCTTCTTGCTGTTGATACCCGCGGAAGTAGGGGTTCGATTCGACGACGTGTGTTGATGTCGGGTGTTTGGGAAGACATGGTGAAGGAGTTCTGAAAACTTGAAGTCCGAAAGAGAAGGTGAGTGGCCATGTTGAAAGGCAAAACATTTTCAAACAGAAGAAGGTAAATAGAAAGTACTACGTGGGCAGGAGAGATGGCTGATGGTTTGGCTGCTAGGTAGGATGAGGATGTTTAGGTTTTGCTGAACTGATTTTGTGACTGTTTCAAGATGATCGATGCGATAGGAATGGTTGCATATATAATTTTCAATGCAAAGAAAGTATATATAGAAAGCGGGGATGTCTTCGCCTGAGTGTATTCGCTGATACGATTGAGCGGAGATCGTGTAGCCTGGCTTGTAATCCTATAGTGAAACAGTACACTTGTATCGAAGGGGGAAGGGGCGTTGCCAGCGGAAGTCGTGCACGATACCTTCGCTAGAAATCGCAAGTTTTCGTGGAAAGATTCGATTTGAATTATTTAAGGGACAGTACCGTAGACACATGAAGAACCACGTGTGATTTGGAGTTGTGTGAAATCCCCCAATTGCTGCCGGCAGGGATTTAGGGTATTTGAAACGGTGCATATAATGATATTTTATCTTACCCACCAGATGACTAGAGCGGGCCCTCACGATTTTTGATTTTCGGGGTATATGTCATCTAAGTGAAAATCACAGCGAGATGGGAGCGGGGCGCGGATGTAAATGAAAGACGTGGGATTTACTTAACGATCAACATGAACAGATTAGGAAACGTGGTGCTGGTTTCGCTGAAATGAATAAAGATTTGTCACGCTGTTTCACTGTGTGGTTGGGTGTAGATAGCGTGATTGCCTACCAGTGAAGTCAGCTGATCTATCGTGAAATTGGATCGGAGTATAGATAATAGAGTACAATTTTGCTTCGATTACCACGATGCATACAGCGAAAGTGTCTGTTCGAAGAACTGTGGAAGATAGCTTCGTTCTACAAAATCCTAATGGCAGAATGTGTTCCTCTACATGCAGTGCTTCGTGGGGCTTTCTTTTCTTCTTGGTGGCAGCTTCTGTCCATGTCAACTTTAGCCTTTTGAAATTATCGGCAATGTCAAGACCGTGAAGTGCGTTCAGGCTAACATCAACCGTCGGTATGACAATCTGATGATGATGGATCCATGGACCAAGACGTTTCGCCCTATGTCTGCTCGGTAGTCGATGAAACCATCATGCATGAAACAATGTGGAATGGTTGTTCTTCGACCAGTTAAAGAAGGTTCAAGAACATCTACGTTGGGACAAAGTCTTCCAAGATCATCCGGAGTACGTTGTGAAGCTGTTGAAGACTGTTACCGCTTTAGGGATCCCCTGCGAGGGTTCTGAAGGGTTGTCGAAGATGGCTTGGTGAACTGGCGCTTTCACACGTGGAGTTTACGGGAAAAGGCGCAACGGTCGAAAATGGGGCATATCCTGTTGCAAAGGATGTCAGGGAAACTGAAGAAGGAGAGGCCTGAAACGCCACTATATGCTATTGTCAACAGCAACTTTGTTGGATGTGCACCTGATATTCTCAAGAATTAACAGAAGTCGAGATAGCCTTTATACGCCAGTGAAATCTTACGGGTATTGTTTTTCCTATTTGGCGGAAGGATGAAAACTTTGAAGGGATCATGACCTTTATGCGGGTAGACTACAATGTGATTGTCGTGCAACGGCACATCTAGAAGCAATGGGCTGAACAAGAATGTCGTGATACTGCTATCAAGGAAGATGACGCCAGACCAAAAAGAAGCAACTCGGAGTATGTACCGACAAGATCATGGCTGCTGTGGAATGGCTTGTACAGAATAACCGGGCTGGAACCACGTCGATCTTGATGCGTACCGCAGAGAGTTAGAGGGTGTGACACCTGTGATAGTGGATCGCAGTAAAGAAGTCGATCTGAGAATTCGAATGTGGAGCAACACGACTTTTCAGCTGCTACTTTCCGATGGTCTAGCTACTGAACCAATGGTGGATTCGATAACAGAGCGAGTTCAAGACATTTGCAGGAAGATGAAAGGAAGGGTGTAAAGAGGGGTTCGATTACAGCTCCAGCATGATCTACAAAGGCTTTTTTACAAGGGACGGATCTGATGCCTTGATTCAGTGTGTTTGCTGAACTTCCATATGGCGTCGGAAGTAGAAGGATTTCAGCTCATGAGGACGGATGTTGGAGGAA